GAAGAAGGTTGCAGGCAGCGCCTGAGCACAAGAGAACTATTTTGAAATCTGAGACTGGGGAGTGACACTGCTCAGTGAAAATAAAACAAAATTGTGAAGTACTTCACAGGAAGGAGATAACCTAAGGCACAGAATGATGGACCATAGTGGAAAAGGATTTCCACAGTTAAAGGAGACATCTGGTTTAGATCACCACATGAGTGTCTCATGTGATGTTAATAATCATTTTAAGGTTAACTTAAGCTTGGGGAATCCTACTAGACACCACTCTTTGAGACTGAACCTTCCATATTAGCATAGGAAGTCTGAGGAAAACCACAAAGAAAGCAACTTATTAAGTTAAATTTCATGCTTGACATGGCAGTTAAGCCACATAAAAACTTACATCATATCCACCCTACTTAACAACTGTGGGACACTGATGTTCCAATGGATGGTTTAGAAAACCTGGACCTAGACCAGAGCACAACATATTGGTAATAAAAACAAATTAACAAAAACAAAATTGAAAAGTCCACAAGGTTAACAATGGGGGATAAAATAAACATGAAACAGTAACATAAGGAGGGAAATAATATCTCACAGATAAACCAAGGCGTTGGAGCATGGAACTCAAGGTCATATACCATTCAATATACCATTGAATGGTATATTTTGAACAAAAGGTCCAAGTTTAGTATTTGGATCTCAAGTTGTACTTCACATGAAGAAGGCCAACAGGAAAGCTCATGGATCGTAGGGATGGGTTGTGGTGGGGAACATCTGGGTCATGAGAAAGGGGAGGAAAATGGAAGGGGTGGAATTGTGGGAGCACATGACACACAGGAATGACCTGATAATAAGTGACCTGATTTCCTAAAAATTCTTCTGCTAAAATCAGAGGGTGTGGACAATTTGTGCCTTGTTTTATTGATATTTTTCATTTCTCAATAAATGGAAGAAGTTGTAAGGAACAGGATTTAGTGTCAGCTTAATTTTAACAAATATGAGAAGGGTAGTTGGTCATTTAAAAACACTGGAGGCCTCCCCTGGTGGCGCAGGCGGTTGAGCACGGTGCTGTGAAACTGCCCGCAGCCTCTACAGCGCCAGTTTGATCCCAGCCAGCTGGCGAGGGTCCTACATGATGCGGCAGAGCTCTCCTGTTGCGCCCGCTGCTCCCCTCAGCAGTGTATTTCGTCAGTCTGCCTGTTCTGTTTCCTGCTCTGGCTCTGGTGAATCCTCTCACCCTCCCATGCATCTGGACTATACCCTGGTTCTTGTATAAATAAATAAATAAATCTTTTAAAAAACTAAAAAAAAAAAAAATAAAAACATTGGAACTTTTAGGAGAAAGCAAAGTATCATAAAGTCCAGCCTACTCATAACCCTTTCAGAGATGTTTTAGAGGAGGTTTTTTGAAAGGAAGGTTATACTAAATAATCTTTAAGTCCCTGCTGAGACATTAAACAGTATCTCTACATTCTACAGTCACACTGAAGAATCCCAGAAGTGGTCGACATAAAAGCCGAGAGAGAAGCAACATTCTGTGGCTAGTCTGACTGTACTAAAAAGAAACAAATAGCACTACACACCGGGCACAGTAAAAAGAGCATGAGACACTGCATATGAATATAATATACACTATTACAATTAAAACAATGTGGTGCTAGAATAAAAATAGATCAGTAATTCAAAGTAGATACTTCAGATTTACAATGTACAATGTACATAAGAATTCAATTGCTAATGAGTGAAGTAAATCAATGGAGGCACTAGAAATTGGGAATAAAGGTCAACTTCTGGAGTGGGCAAAACCTTTGTGTTTTGAAATGGAACAAGAACTCAGAAAAGGTCAACAAACCCCTTTTTAAAAAAGAACATTAAAGGCAAAAAACAGCCTAGAGATTTTTTTTCATGAAATATGAACTCCAGAGATTACACTGATAAACAATAAATGACTAAATGCAAACCAAACAACAAAAAAAAAATCACCAAAGGTGATGGGTGAGGTGTGGTAACATACATCTGAAAAGTGGGAATCTATTTTCCTAAATTATATACAGTATTGTGAATCAATGTTACTTTAATAAAAATGTTAAAACAATCCTCAAGAATCCTATCTGATAAATGGATAAAGTATGAAAGGTACCTATTTATAAAAGAAGAAATATGAATAGGAAATGCAGGGGGGAGATGAAATAATTTTAAAGGAGGAGGAGGAGTAAAAAAAAATTAAGGTAAAATAAATAGGATGCCACCTTTGCATACCAAATCAGTAAATGTTAAATAGCTATGCATATTTTGGAAATTAATTGCCCAGTATTTAACAAGAAACTTCATTTCTTTCGACTTACTAATTCTACATGTAGGATACTATCCAAAGGAAATAATCCTAATTGCTAAAAAGCTATGTGCACAAAAATATCCACTGTAATCTTATTTCTTAAAAAGAATAAGAAGAAAGGATGGAATAAGGTAAATATCTGATGACTGCTTACTGTGTTCAGGTACTTTGCAGCCATTGTACATAGGTGAGCATATTTAAAAGATAACATTAAATCTCACAGCAGACTGATGAAATAGATACAATCCTCATTTTACAGAAACGGTGAAATGCTTTTACATGCATGAAGAGACTTAACTTCCCAGAAAACAAAAACTTGACTATCAAGAGTGAACAAAATGGAAAAAGCCTAAATGTAAACAACTGTAGTGGTTGAATAAACTGGGGAGGATTTATTCCTTGTATTATTTAATTTTTTAATAAAAAACTATAAAATGGAAAAATGCTTTAGGATAAGAGGTGAACAAAAATGCATACTAAAACATCTTACAGTTAATATGATTACAATATTTCCACAGAAAAAAGACTGGACTATATAAACACTAACCAAACAAAACAAACCTGACCCTTAAATAATCTCCAAAAATGAAGTCATCTGGCAGCCCTGAGAACAAAGCCAAGTGGGGATCAATTGACAGACTAGGGGCAGTATGGAGGAATGCCCAGAAAGATCCTAAAAGGCTCAAAAACAGTTTAAGCAGTTTGGCTAATACAGGAGATGGGGAATGAAATTCAGGGCAGATACGGTAAATCTTACAGAACGAGTAGAGCTGTAATTCTTTTCATGGTAAGTTGCTGGGGAAAATCATAAATTGGTCATGGTTAAAATGTCAGAAGACTCAAAATCATAAGAAAAAATAATGAATTATTGAGGTTGCGGCTTACTCAGAAAGTCACACAATATTTTCTGAGAGAAGTGGGAGGTGGAGAAAAGAGTAAAGCAATTTTTGCTCTATGAATATTTCAATTAGGCAGCTGAGAAAATTTGGGTGGAAAAATACAAATCTTTGCTCACAAGTTATTAGAAGGAAGTATCTGTCTAGATTAGCCATAGGGAAAAAGGATCTGGATAAACACATATTCAAACCTTAGAAAATGTTTATGTACACGCACGTGCACACGCGCACACACACGCACACACACAAAACCCTTGCAGCAGACTAATAGCCAGTTGTGTGGATTTAAAATTTTGGAGAATTTTAATATCCTAAATATCCTAAGTATACTGCTTTATAACTCAATCTCTTACTTTCCTTTTTCTATTTCCCACTTCTCTTGCCAGATATCTTCTCTCATAACTTCCTTGTTACATTAAAAGAGAACCATGTGCATATTTGTACATATGTTTGCATGCATATGAGGGTGCATACACAGATGTATGAATATAGGTACATGCATGCATGCATATGTGTGTGTACATATAATTACATATACATAATTACATATATTTAATTTACTGCAACTAGTTTAGTCTTACATCTATGGCCACCAGCGACAAAAATTCACAATCAAAAGAAACTAAATGCATTGTCAACTCAGCACAAAGTTTATGGGTTTGTGGGTATAGTACTTGGTAACTCTGCAAAGGCAATTGTGTTCTACTTAGTGTCTACTGACTACCTTTCTCTAATTGGATGGGTAAATGTGAATTGTTCTTCTGACATTGTAACAATGGTCTTAGTATAATAACTAACTGTCACCTCTCCAGTGCCAATTCTGAGAGAGCAGGGACCATCTGGGAATTGTTTACTGCTGGGAGCCTGCACCCAAACAGTGTCTCAATGAATATCCTTTGAATGAGAGAGTGAGTGAGCAGGTGAATATTGCCAGCCTTATGTCTCTTTCCAGAGAGCTCAAGTTTCACCTCCCCATAACACCTTCCCTCAGAGTGCCCAAGATTGACCTTTCTGGAAATTACTACATTACTAGCCTACACCACTCCTTAATACTGCTTCTACACATTACTTTTAGTGCTGTTTTTTTTTTTTTTCCCAATTTAGGAAGACAAGGACACATACATATGTAGGCATTTATTCTGTTTCCCAAAGCACTTGTTATAGGGCTCCTGGAAAGTCCTCAATAAACATGTATTACATTAAATGATGACATACTTTCAATGATATTCTACTTTGTGATATTTCAGAACACTGTCTCTATTGAATGCATTTTATTAATATTTCAATATGCGGTGGAAAGAGAATGTGGGATTTGGTATCCATTGAGCTGGGTTTCCAGCTCAGCCACTTTCATGCTGGAAAAGTAACCCAAACTCTGGGCCTTTATTTCCCTATTTGTAAAGCAAGAACATTAACAAAAATAGGAACAGTAAGTATCTACTCTTAAAGAGAAGGCTGTGGAATCAGATGGCGCAATGTATGGGGAAAGAGCTTTGCCAATTGGAGAGCAAAAATCAGCACTCCCATTTTCCAATTTTAAATAAAAAATTGATGTTGTTATGCTGCAGATGATGGGCACTGTGTGTGGCTTTTTCTAGAACAGCCATTAGGCAGAAGAGCAAGGTGGTGAGGAAAAGAATCTCAAGCACTACCTGCCAAGCATGCCCTCCTCGTAATCCCAGATCATGCTCAACACTTGCGCATGGAGAGATTACTGGGCATCTGCCACCCGCATCCTTGGGCATTGTCATGAGCCTCTTCAAACCCAGGGGAAAGCTTACCAGACACAAGCTGCTGTCCAGGCAACCCCACGGGAACCATGCCCAGGTTATTCATGGCGGTGGCCCAGGCTGTGGGATCTGTCACAGACATGTTGAGCTGGGTTGTATCTATCGCTATACTCCCCAAACCATCAGCAGCTGTGGGCAGGGAGGGGCGGGAGAGAACAGTGGCTTCAGAGTCAATGAGCAAGGGTGTTTATTTTAAAGGAAATCACATTTCTAGAAATGTGAGGCTTCATTTAGCACATTCCCAAACCACACAGAAAATAGAGCAGTATAATCTACAGCAATGTCTTTTCCAGACGTAAACATAAAGAGTTTGTGAATACATTCTGGGAGGAAACTTAATGACATGTAGTTTATACACAGTATGCCATTAAGGAAGCACCCCTGGAAAAAACTGAAGAATCACTTTCCTCTCACAGTGAAACAACATTAGTTAAGTTCCAGGGTGGAGATGTAAAACAGGAATATTCTCTTGGTAAAACAAGTCAATTGGCTTAGTAGACTAAGAATAAATAACTTAATCTGTCTCTGAGTGCACTTCTGGAGCAGGCACACCTTCGAAATACCTAGTAGAATCTCTGAAAACAATCATCAAGGAGTGAAACTGGTCTTGACTGAATTATTAAATCATCTTGTAACAAATTCCCTTCTGTACATATTTTCTCCATTATTACATTTAGGAGGGTGCCTATAATGACTTTTCCAAAATATTTCCTATAAGCACAGACTTTCACCAAAACCAAATAAAACCCAATAGCACAGACCTAAAAAACCCACAGAGATATATGTCAAATTTGACTTAATATTCTTTGATGTTCACTGGTTGTAAGATTTTATTTCCTTAAGGATCCTGGGCTCCAGGTTCACTGCATATTTTCATGGCTGAGCAAGCTTTTCCTCTAAGAACTCAAAAGGTTTTGTTTGTGTCCTGTGCTGGCCACCGACCTTTACCTGCAGCCATCATCTGAGGAAGCTGTTGGGGACACTGGGCGATGCTTTCAATGCCACCTGCATCTACTGTTGAATTACGAACATCCTGGGAGACAGGGGCGCTTTGATGGCTGAGCTCAGGGTCCCCACGGAGATCATCAGGTTCTGAAAAAGGGGAAATGAATGTGGTGAGAAACTAAAGTGGCTAACTGCCATGAGAGGAAACAAACAGAAACACACAAAGAACAACTTCTAGACACAGATGCAGAAGAGGCACTCTTCTCCTGTCTCACGGCTGTCTCCTGGCTGGGCCTCGGAGCCTTCTGCCATGAGGGTCACTCACCTGGAGCCGGGGCTGGCTGAATGAATAGCCCTGTTTGCAGAAGCATCTGGTGCTTGGCCTCCCACTGAAGAGGCTGTTCAAACAGGCCTTATCAGTCCCTGCACAGCCTCTTCCACACAGTGTACATCAATGGTGAGGGCAGACTCAGGGCTCAGTATGATTTTTTTAAGTCAAAAAATTAAGGGATGGTGTTATTTTGAAAGACAGTTGTCTGACACATTCAGAAGGGAGAAAAAGTGGGAAAAGGGAAAGGAAAAAAGCCAGAATCTGTTCACTGTGAGGTAGAAAAGGTGTGTATCTCAATTATAATGGTTAGGGAAGGCAAAAGGAGAGAATGGCAGGCTGTCCATGGAAGAAGAACTAAAGGGGGTCAGGCAGCAAAGGGTGTCAGAGAGCCTTTGTGCGCGCGTGTGTGTGTGTGTGTGTGTGTGTGTGTTCCATGAAAGAAATTTCCACAGTTTGGCCACTATTTGTTTGATCTGAATTCTTCCTAGAATTGCACCATTTATACCTATGTATTTTGATTATATTTTTCAAAGCACTTTTCTAATAAAAATGATAGAACGTTAAATAAACTTGCAAAGTCCTGCCCCCCGTATCACACTATATAAAAAGATGCCATGCCTTCTCTCCAACTTTAAAAATTCAAACCACTGCATTCTGACATACACATTTGAAGTGCACTTTTGCACTGGAAGACAAAACAAATTGCTTTAGATGGGTGACCTGAGACATTTGAATTTTGTTCTAACAACTGAATTTATTTTATTTTTTTAAACTTTTTTTAAGATTTATTTATTTATTTATACAAGCACTGGGTACAGTCAGAAGCGCAGGAGGGTGAGAGAATTCACCAGAGACAGAGCAGGAAACAGAACAGGCAGACTGACGAAATACACTGCTGAGGGGAGCAGCGGGTGTGGCAGGAGAGGTCTGTCGCGCCATGTGGGACCCTCACTGGCGTCCGGGAATTGAACCGGCGCTGCAGAGGCTGCAGGCAGCTTCGAAGCCCAGTGCTCAACCACTGCGCCATCAGGGGAGGCCCTTTAACAACTGAATTTAAAGATTTATTTTTACTTTAGTATGAAGTTAGAAATTTTACTAACCCATGTTTCTGTTAATGAATCTTTTAGAATCATGGTCTATATGTCAGTATGTCCTATGTAAAGTTTGGCCTTTTTAGGGTGTGTACTTTTATTTCTTAGATTCTTAGATACAAGAATCAGTAATCCCTCATAAGAGTATATTGTGGACGAGAACTTACTGCCAGTTGAGTATAACTTTAATGAAAATGAAATTTTGGGTTTCAGTAAATGAAGAGCAGGCAGATAATCAGAAAATTGTTTCCAAGCACTCTGCAAATTCCTGGTTCTTGGGAAAGGCAAAAGGAAAGAATGGCAGGCTGTCCACAGAAGATCTAAAAGGTGTTGGGGCAGCAAAGGAAAAACGTGTTTGTGTGTGTGTGTGTGTGTGTGTGTGTGTGTTTCCATAGGAAGGGATGTAAGATAATGGGGAATTTTTTTCTAATAGTTTGTCATGAAGATGAAACATCTCTATAATGCAGGTACTAAAGGATTCCAACTCTGGCAGCAAAAGTATTTTATACCTTGCAATTAAACTCAACTACCCAAATGAATTCTGAATTTGTATATCTATCGTTCATCAGTTACCTTGCCATCAGACAAAGAGACTCTCACCAAATAAAATAAAATAAATTCAATAGTGTAAGAAATACATAGCTAACCTAAAATCCCTGTGCTTTGTTCAGTCATATACCAGCAAAATTTCCATGATGAAACCTTGAAGAACTTTCCTTTCTCCACGACAATCATTTCAGAACACCAAAGGAGAGTGAAGCTAGAATGTGTTCATTCCTTTGCTCAGATATCCCCATAGTAGAGCCATTTCAGATCACTGCAAGGGCACTATTTGTCTTACTTATCTCCCCAAATGAAGTTTAGTGGCTAACTACCTTCTAGCTCTGGTTCTCCCAAAATGGGCATTAATCACAACTTTTTCCTGTTGAATGGCCCTGCGGTTCTGGAACACTGGGTCAGAGAACATCCCTTTACTTTGTAGGCTTTTTGACTTGTGCCAGGCTGGCCTTGTTTTACCTTGCCTTTCTGTTATAGAGTTTTAGGAATGGTGTTAACTGTCCTTGGCACTGTAACTGTCTGTTTCAGTGGTAGTTTTCACCCTAATGATTATGGTCTTGCAAAGAGGCATCAAATGTCTTGGAAGTCCAGAGCTTCTACCCACTATTTTCATACCCATCTTAGAACCCATACTGTTTCATCAAGAATGGTAACATGTGGCTAAAGTGTCATGGAAGAAAGCACAGCTTTATTTGCAAAATGTGGTTTGTAAACATGAAATTTCTTCCCTAATGGGACTACAGCATGCAATTTATTACATCTCTTCAATCTCCCCATGCAATGATTTTAAGCACATACAATTTTATTTGGCAGTCATGTACCTAGGATGGTGACTCTGAAGTTCTATAACATATAGGTATCTTCAGTAGTCAGAAGGATGCTGTAAAATTCTTTTAAAAAACCTAAACGGATTTGACCCTTTGGTTTGGAAAATGATATCTTTAATTAATTACTATCTAGTAATCTATGAATAACCATAAGAGCGATTTTTGTTCTCTACTAACATCTATTGTTTCTATTGAATACCTGCCTCTTTAAATGATTCAAGACCATAATCCCTAATTTATCATTCAAATCAATTTCTCTGCCTTAGTTTTCTTATTTCTAAACCATAAAAAAAGATTAATATTCTTAATGATGTTTATTTACACACAGAGATATGGGGAGTTAAAAATTACAGCTAATAAAGTACTTGGAATATAGAAGGTGCTAATTATTATTATTTTATTTGGAAGTGTAGTGTTTCTATTAAGGTACCCTGGGATCTCTGTGTTCTGCTGGATAATTATGTAATTAATTCTAAAACAGTGAGTAACACTTGATATTTCTAAAAGTAAGTGTTGCCCTAGCTTTCTGTGCTTCACTTAATCTGTAGTAGAATATTTCTTCATTTTCTACATTTCCTTTATAAAAATAATGTAATTTAAACTATGTATGAATTATTCTCTCTACATTTGTTTCTGCCTATGCAATGACAAAAGCTATGAAGAGATTCATGACCAATTGTGAAATTGGCAGTTTCTATTTAGAGCTTTTAGTGAGGCGAGAGCATCACAAAATAATCAGCTGTACCAAATGTTAAGAAAAATAGTATTTCTTTGTCCAGGGTTCAGTTGATAACTAACTTGTTCTTTGTGAGGGTATAATCAAGTGAAAAAGCTCATATGGGATTTTATAACTCCTTAACAAGATATATTTATGCCAGTATTTCACTGGGCTAAGTCAGTGAAGCAATCAGTTTTTGAAAACCACCAACCTCATAAAAATTTACTTGACCTAAGAAATGGTATAACCTTCTCATAACATAACTCTCAAAAACATAACTCTTCCTAACCCTGTGAAACTCTCATAGTTCTAAGGAAACTCATACTGTGAATAATAAAACCCATCTGTACTTGTCTAAACAACCATAGATTTCTACTAACAAGGGGTCAAGAAAAATCAGTTAAAAATAAGTGTTAAAACAATTATTTAGTTTGACAAGTTCATACCTACTTCTACAGAAAAATAATTATAGTGAGAAAATCAGATTTATTAATGTCTTACAAAAATTTTATACCAAAGAAAACTTATTTCATTTGCTATCTAGAACATTTTACAGGCTCTAATTACTAGTATTATCATGGTTTATATTTACAGGAAAAAGAAAAATGCATTACCATCCAAAGTTCTACTGTCCTCTTCCAGCAGTAAGAAAATACCTCTTTTTGATCTTCATCTAATCAGTAGGCTAATCTCTTGAGATTACAGAAATGCGCCATAGTTTAAAACAATGTATAATATCACTAAATACCTGTTACTTATTAACCCCCTGATTTTTAAGCAACTGTCTATAAGGGAATGAGGGAAACATTTCTGCTTCCTGTAATGGTAAACTAAGTAAACTGAAGTTGTTCCTACTGAGCAACAACTCAAAAAGCTTAATGTCTTTCATCAGTTTTATAAAATTCCTACCATTATCTCTTCAAGTATAAAAGAATCCCAAAGACCATGCTCTAATCACTGAAAGGATTACTAAATAAACTTCTAAGGAGAATGGGCTCTGTGTTTTGAGGGAAAAGAAAAAAAGTATCTTTTGTGGCTACCCATGGGAAAAAGGGGCTGCAGAGAAGAGACATGACAAGAACAGATATTCAGGGGTTCACTGATGATGATACAGTGTAAATTCCTCCATATTCCCTCTATAGCAATGTCACTAAAGCTTAATTGCTTGTGAATTCTTAGATGGGAATAATTTTGGGGTGTCTGAGGTCATTTAGATGAGAGGGCTTCAAGAACATCATGAAACAGCAGCTGATAGAAGCGATAACCTGAGATACTAGCTAATAAAGCATGATACATTTTCGAAGCCCATAAATACATAGGGTGTTGGTTATTATTATGTATTTCCTGATTAATGGGGAATAATAATATGGAGGTTTTGAAGAAGAGATTAGGTTAGGTTTTCTAGTAGAGGAACTAAGAATATTAGGGAAATTTCTGGTGAGAATAGTGGAGTAGAAACATTATACAGGATAAAATTGAAGACATCTTTCTGAGTGATCGAGTGAAAAGTTACCTCTTGGTAACTGAGCAGAGGATGGAACAGAACAGAGAATGGAACTGGCAAAGATCAATTCAGGAAGGGCTGGGCTTTATATCCTCAAAGTTATGACATTAAAAAGTCT